TTCAGCAGGTGACTTTGGGGACCCAGGCGTGTGTCAGAAGTTTGATTGTGTCAGACATGCTCATGTCACATCAGGGTGTTGCCTATCTGCCTGCTTGGGTCACGTGGGGCCCTGACTCCACCACCCATGAGTGTCAGGCTCGCCCAGCTTTCGGTCATACTCCGTTTGCCATCTGACTGCCACCGAGGGGAAGGTTCTGGCCAGGCCCAGGGCAGGAGGCAACCTTTGGCTGTGAAGCCAGCAGGTGTGGGCCCGTGGCCGCATCCGCGCGTGTCCTGTCCCCACGAGAGCACGTGGGGTTGTGGCCCTGGCTGCTCTCAGTGGGTCGTGGGGACTCTGCCTCCGCCCTGGCTAGGGTCTAGAGGTCAGATAGGTCTAAATAAAGAGGAAAAGGCTGCCGAGCTCGTCTTTGTAGGTGAGCAGGCCTTTCCACGTTGAGGTCTTGCTCTGTGGGCCGTCTTCTCGGTATACGCTTTGTGCTACCTGTGTCTTTGTGCTGCTTTCCACGCTGCATACCGCTGGACGGGATGGGGCAGGCTGCTGGATGGGATGGGGGGTCAGGCCGCTGACGGCTGGGTCTCTGAGCAGGTTCCTGCAACCCCGTGCTGTGTGCGCCTGGTGCCCTTTCTCTTCCCCTTTGGTGACCACACGGTGGAGGCGTCATCCTGTCAGGTTGAGCCTCTGTGGGGCATTTCTCATTCATCATTACCTTCTCCTTTGTCTTGAATCTTTAATATAAAATGTTGACATGTTTTTAACAACTTATTTGAAATTACTGGGGTTTCAAACACTACCTTGCGTGAATATAAAGTATCACATAAAAAAGTTCCAACGAACTGCAGCCCTTCAGACCCCCGGGAGCAGCTGACAGCACGAGATCTGTTTTCCTCTTCCCCAAAACTCAGTTACTACAATGACAATTAGTCTCTTAATTCTCTCCAAGAAAAGGACATGTGTTTGCTAAAGGGAAGATCTAAAAAGTATTAAATATTTCTTTCCCTGATGTTCTATTCATCTTGGTTTACACTGAGACTCAGAAATGTAGGCATAGTCGAGAATTAAGAATGTAAAATTGTGGTGGATATTTGAATGTATATGAGGCAAAAAATAGGATCGTGTGTTTCATCTAAATTATTTCTGATGGCAACTCAGGGTCGCTTCCACCTGGTGAAGTGCTTCCTAGTCCATTGACTTCGGGCATAGATTCTGAGGATGGTGCCTGATCCTCAAAAGCGTATGGATTTTAGGTGCCCTGTCAGAGTACATGAGAAACAGACAAGTTGGTGGCTTGGGACACCTGAACAAGCCCTGAGACATGTGAGGGCATTCAGATGTACTTGACGCTCTTCTTCACTGA